TATATATATATATATATATTCGTACAATTATATTATTTACACTGCCGTTCAAAAGTTTGGGATCAGTCTTTTTTTTTTTTTTAAGAATTTAAAGAAATTGATACTTTTATTCAGCAAGGATGTGCCAAATTGATAAAAAGTGTCAGTAAATACTTATATTGTTAGAAAAAGATTTCTGTTTTGAATAAATGCTGTTTTTAACTTTTTATTCATAAAAGAATCCTGAAAAAAGGATCACAAATTTTTTTTATTTTTTTTTATTCAGAAGCACAACTGTTTCCAACATTGATAATAAATCAGAATGATTTCTGAAGATCATGTGACACTGAAGACTGGAGTAATGATGCTGAAAATACAGCTTTGATCACAGAAATAAATTACATTTTAACAGATATTCACATAGAAAACAGCTGTTTTAAACTGTAATAATATTTCTCAATATTAAATTTTTTTCTCTATTTTTGATCAAATAAATGCAGCCTTGATAAGCAAAATATACATCTTTAAAAAACATTAAAAATCTCGCTGATCCCAAACTTTTTTTAAACAATGTAACAAATAATAAAAACAAAAATTAATCACTTACTAAAAAAGATTGGATATTTTATCTGTTTACTTGCATGTCATGTGACAATGTGTTGCTAAATAATTATAAAATTAATGTAAAATCTTGGGGGAACTTCAAGAGAATTTCACATCTAAAGGGTTCGACTGACCAAAAACAAAATGATACACATCATCAGATATTCAGAATTCGGTATGATATTAAAAAACACTGTTTAGTGATGCTGCTGTGTGTGTTTTGTGTCAGACGTCTGAGTCCGAGCGCTCGCTGACTGAGCAGAGGAAGACAGCGCTTCAGAAGAGCTCAGAGATTCTGGACACCAGCGGGTCCCTGAAGAACCACACAGAAGGTGAACACACACACACACACACAGCACTAACACCTGAAGAACCACACAGAAGGTGAACACACACACACACAGACAGACACACAGCACTAACACCTGAAGAACCACACAGAAGGTGAACACACACACACACACACACCTGAGATCATTCATACAGAGGATCATCTCATTCCTGTCTGTCTGTTTCAGGGCTGGTGTTTAGCGTCAGTGAAGTGACCAGCAGGTTGAGTCTGGTTAGAGCGAGCGTTCAGAACGTCACACAGCTGCTCCCAGAAGCCCTGAACATCCTGAGAAACCTCCCTAATGGTGCGGTAACCCTGTTTCATTTTCTAGATAATTTTGGCTGTTAATGCAAACAGCATACATTTTGCCTTTTTATATATATATATATTTATATATTTCACACTCATTTGCTTTCATACATTTATTTTACACTAAGAATAAAAAAAAAGTTACACACAAGACTCAGTACCAAAAATGTCTCCATTGAAACACATTAAAACAGTAATATTTAATCCCAGTGCCATTTAGGCATTAAATCATGCATTCTTTGTTAATAGGCTTTCATTCTGATGGCAGTGCTTAGAAATTATTGCTATTTTTAAATGGAAATTTTTTTTTTTATTAATTTTTAAAAACGTTTTACTGTTTTTATTATTAGTAGTAGTAATACTTTTTATTTTTTTATCATGTTGGCACCATTTTTATTAATTTTTTTTAAATCGGACACTGCACAAAAAATAATGATGCATCATAATTAATGTTGTTTCTACTCATTGACATATGCAAGACTGTAATAATCCCAAAAAAAAATCTGCTTATCGTTTAATATATGGAGAATATATATATATATATATATTCTCCATATATTAAATAAGCAGATTTTTTTGGATTACTACAGTCTTTTTTTTTTTCCCTTTTTTTTTGGTATTTATGATCAAAGCTGATGTTGGTAAAAAAGAAAAACAAAACTATATTATTGAAAGCAGAAAACAAAATTAATATATAACATATATTTTATGTTTTGACACAAATTTCACGATTCGATTCTCATTCACAAGCTTGTGATTCGATTCGATTACCGATTCAATTCGATTCAATATGGATTATTTTGGATATATATCAGGTACAGTACATGCCAAATTTTCTCAAGGAAAAAAAAATCTCTTAACTAATGCTGTAAAATATACATGAGAGTCAGTTGGTACTACATTACTATAATATTGAAGGTTAAAATTGACTTATTTGTTAAAATTACACTTAACGAAGTTTTTAAAATAATAAAGTTACAATTACATAATAATATTTCTACTTCAATTTGTTGTTTTAAAAAAATATATAAACATAATTGTGGCTGTCATAAAAACTTGATGGATTTATTCAAACATAAATTAAACATTGAAGCGTCAAAATGAGAATCGATTAAAATCGAGATACCGATATTTTTTTACCCAGCCTTAGATGTTTTTGTCCTCTAAGTACCTCTGAGTAACTTTTTTAAATTGATGCACAATGGTTAAATGAATCGTTCTGTCTGTTTCTCAGGCAGCAGAGCTGAAGTCCTCGAGGCGAAGCAGCAGCAGGAAGCAGCGAATGCATCTTTACAGGAAGCTCTGGAGCGTCTGGAGGATTATCGTGTGAAGCTGCAAGAGTCGTCTTCTGCGGTGGGCTCGGCTAATAACAGCATCAGGAGCACTAACCAGCTAGTCAGAGACTCAGAGGAGACCGGTGAGTGACTTCACTGCACTCTCGAATTATATTCGAATTTAAAAGGCATAATTTCAGTTAGGGGAGGGAAAAAGATTTTGGCTTCTCTCCTGAGATTAGTCCAATATTACTAATGACCGTTTCTTCAAAGCATAAAATAACATCATAAATCTTATATAATTAATAAAGTTGCTTAAACAATTAGAAACAAAACAGCATCATGCATGTATGTATAGTTTAATACAAAGGACCGAAAACCAATCACATAGAGTGCTTTTTTCACTTAAAAACATGAGATGCAGTGGGATGGGAAAAACCCCGCCATAAAGTCTCGAGATATGTTTTTTTCAAAGTTTACAAAAGCATTAAAATGCAACTACACTTAAATCGTCATCGCATCTCGTGCGCCGCTGGTAAGGCAGCCTGACACACACCTAAACGTTTTTACATTCGAATGTGGATTTTTATTTTCAATTCGACGAAAATGCGAAATTCGGAAAAAATTTTGACAGCCCTAACGTGCATTAGTAATATTTTGCTCAATGCGCCCTCTTGTGGCCTCAGGAGAGAAGCCAAAATCTTTTTTCCTCCCCTAACTGAAATTATGCTTTTTAAATTCGAATATAATTCGAATATTTATAATATTTAAGTAAAAAATTCGAATTTAGTTTTTCAGCCATTTTGACAGCCCTAATAGTAGGATGGGGAAAACCCGCCATAAAGTTCTGAGACATGTTTTAAAAAAGTTGAACTTACATGAAAATGTGATAAACGTGTTCTGTGTGAACGGTTTGGTTTCGGTTTTGACGTAAACAAGATCTTCTCTGCATTGATTGTTCTCTTTTTCTGCAATATTTTGAATGAACAACGCAGCAGCGCTGCATCTAGTGGCTTCAACTGGATAGACTTACAAAAGCATTAAAATGCAACGACACTTAAATCGTCATCGCATCTCGTGCGCCGCTGGTAAGGCAGCCTGACACACACCTAAACGTTTTTACATTCGAATGTGGATTTTTATTTTCAATTCGACGAAAATGCGAAATTCGGAAAAAATTTTGACAGCCCTAACGTGCATTAGTAATATTTTGCTCAATGCGCCCTCTTGTGGCCTCAGGAGAGAAGCCAAAATCTTTTTTCCTCCCCTAACTGAAATTATGCCTTTTAAATTCGAATATAATTCGAATATTGATAATATTTAAGTAAAAAATTCGAATTTAGTTTTTCAGCCATTTTGACAGCCCTAATGTGCTCGGACCTCTGCAGATTAAAGTGGCTGTTTCTGCGGATAAGGATTGCGTGCGAGCGTACAGACCAGAGGTGAGCTCCAGTAACTTCAACACACTCACGCTGACCATGAAGACCAGCGAACCGGACAGCCTGCTCTTCTACATGGGCAGCAGCGTCAGCGTGAGTCAGATCACATGACCTGAGATGCACACCGTCTTATTTTAGTATTATTCATATACTATTATAGCTTTTATTAATATTTTTAAAGAGCTTACATTTTCAGGTTTCATGTTGGTTTTAATTTAAGATTTAGTAAGTTTGTTATGTGCTTTTGTCATTTGTATTAATTTTCTTTATTTTTTAATATCATTATTCAACCCTCTACATTGTGAGTAAATCACGACTCGCCGTCGCTTTGTCTCACACACACGCAGCGAGAGAGAATTGATGCGCTACATGTAAACGATATTCTTTGTTGTATTTTGCTGTCAAAATAACGGAGTTCCTTTGGAATTCTTCAGCTTTTAAGAACTGCCGCTTTCTCCGGTAGTGGGCGGAGCTAATGCGCAAACGACAATCTCATTGGCTGGCGCTCACCTATTATCGTCCCTGTTTTGATTTCAGCAAATCGGTTCGAGCGAACGCACACAACCTGATTAATATTCATCAATCCAGTAGCTCATTAATCCTTGGTGCGTTTTATATTGTTCTTATTAGTAGAATTCGTATCATTAT